GTCTCGGAGCCCATGCAGCTCCAAGCACGCTAGCTGGTTTCTCGGCGGGGATAAGGTGAAGATAGAGTGTGACACTACTGCTCGCCGCTTGTCTCAGTGTGATTCCCGGGAGTACGTGTGTAGATGTCCGCTGCCTGCCATCTCCTGTCATCAAACTCTCGAAACACACTGAGTAACATCACGGCACGGGGCTGCAATGGCAACATGACAGTGTCGAACGTCCGGCGTACAACTGCCTCATCACCTGCATCGGCTACAAGCTGATCTCTGAAGGAGAAAGCTCTCGATAACATACTGACATTCAGTCTTCAGCTATAGAACAGGCTTCCACCGAAGATAGCCAGGCACCAACGCTCGCTCTGTCGGATCAACCCAGATTGAATTCGGACGCTCCGCCCATTGCCTTCATCTTCGCCCTCATCTTCCTCGCCGCCTCCTGCGCATCCGTATCCCGCACCGCACCCTCATCGTCCGCACCCTTTCCGCCTTCCTTGCCTCTCTTCCCCCAGCCCCCGCACTCGAACCCGCCCTCCCCTCTTGTCCTTCGTCTGCGCCGCCCCCGGCCTGAGCCCTGGCACGTTGATACTCCCCGGGCGGTCTCTGAGCGCAAACGCCTTGGCCAGATGTCCCAGATGCAATTGCTTGATATCGAAGTAGCCCCTCTCGGCCGCCACATGGGTCGCGTAAGCGCGGACGTGGCTCTGGAAGGCGCGGCGCGCTTGCTCGAGGTGTTTCGGGTCCGCGAGCGCCCAGCGCTCGATGTCGAGCTGGAAGTCCGTGGCGCGGGTATCCCAGTCTTTGTCGCCCGCAACGCCCGAAGTCGCGGCGAACCCGCGCTTGAGCAGCTCTTGGGCGTCGTGCCGGGTGAGTCCGCGCCCGTTGTCCTGGCGTCCTTCTTTCAGGATGCTGACGTAGCCTTCCTCGCATCCGGGCTGGAGGAATATTAGAGCACGGCCGTCGCGTCCGGCGCGTGCTGTGCGCCCGATGCGGTGCAAGTGGTCTTCTTTTGAGAAGGGTGGGTCGTACTCGATGACAAAGTCAACGTTGGGGAGATCGAGACCGCGAGATGCAACGTCGGTGCAGACCAGGACCGCCGGGTCGTGGGTGTTGGTGAAGGCTTTGAGGGTTGAGGTACGGATGGCCTGGGGCAGGGAGCCGTGGAGACGGAAGACGGTGACGGGGTTGGACAGGCCTGAGATGGAAGGAGCGGAGGCGGAGGTGTGAGTTTCGGAGATGGTGGTGCCTTGGGAAATTTTGCCCGGCTCTTTCTTCGCAGTTTTGGGGCTGGGCTTTCTGGGTTGTGGAGAGTCCGCCTTTTCTTTGTTCATGGCCTCCTTATCAGACGTCTGCGCTTCGTCTTGTCCGTCCTCCTTCCGTGTTAGCGCCTCGAAGTGGAAGTCGACGGAGTCTGCGCAGGACATGAAGACGATGGTTTTCATGACGGAGCCTTTCCGTGCGAAAGCGCGCCTGAGAATGGCCAGTAGCGTTACCAATCGCTGCTTGGCCGGCACGACAGCATACGACTGCTTCAGCTGGGCAGGAGCAGAGAACGCTGTTCCGGCTCCATCCTGACCTTCGCTGTCCATATCCGATTTTCCTTCCGCAGCTATCGGCACGGCGTCTTTCAAACTGATCTCCCTAGCCTTTGTACGTCCATTTTCATGGTCGCAGAACAAAGCACCGTCGTCCTCTTTACCGGCAAGCCTGGTACGCCACCCTTTTGCGCCCGCATACGTAGGTTTAACACGGAAACGATCTTCTGGATGTCCTGTTCGAATCCAAGCTCCATCAGACGATCGCCTTCGTCCAGCACCAGCCAGCGCACGTTACTGACATCCAGCGACTCCGTATTGTTCAAGTGATCTGCAAGACGACCAGGCGTGGCGACCAGTATGTTCAATCCCTTGCGCAACCTCGCCTTTTCCGACTTTTTTCTCTCCACCAACAACCGTGCCTGCCACGATCCAGTGCGCACATCCCAACAACGACTCCAATACGGTTGAAATCTGCTTGCTGAGTTCACGGGTGGGGGCCAGTACAACGGCGAACAGACCCGAGTCTCTACTCAACCCGCCCGCATCTCCGTTCATGACTCCTTTGCGCATGCTCTCGGACATGTTGATCAGTCGCTGTACGATTGGCAAAAGGTAAGCCAAAGTCTTTCCAGAACCAGTCTGTGCCTGAATAAACGCATCGGAGTCGTCCTTCACTAGCTGCGCCACCGCTTTCTGTTGGATCGCCGTAGGCGCTTTGATCTGCATCTTATTCCTCAAGTGCTGTGCCAAGTTCGTGGACAGTCCCAGCGCCGTGAAGTTCTCTAGCTCCGGGTCCAGAGGCGCATTCGAAGGCTGCACAGGTGTCTCATCCGCCTCTTCTGCTTCAGGCTCTGGCTTTGCAGTAGTGGATGTAGGGTTGTATGTGAACAGTGACGATATGAACTCCTTTGGCTGCGCTTTTCCTCGCTCCTTCCGCTCTCCGGTCGTCCTTGTTCGGTCGTGGTCAGGCCTCGCTGGCTGGTAATCGCCTGCCACGCGCTGTCGCTTTGCCGGTGGAGGAGGAACAAATTCTTCCCTACCACCATCCGCGCTGTAGTCTGGAATTGTGCGGCCATTCTGTGCCGGCTTGGATCGTGGTCCTGTTCCTGTCGCTTTGTTCTGCTTGTACGCCGCCGCCTTCTTTGCAGTCAAGCGATCCTTCCAGCGGCCACCCTTGAACTGGGTCTTTGCCTGCCAGGGCTGGTCGTTGACAGCGAAATTCAACAAAGGCCGTCATCCGCCATTCCTACTCTTGCCCCTGTTCGCCCTGCGGAAGGTGTATATATATACGGAGATGGAAACGTCGGAGTTTTCTCTAATAGAAATTGTTTAAGGCTTTGGCGATCTCCACCGAAAAGTTGGAGATCGTTGTAGATTGCGGGGTAAGGGCGTACATTTTGTTCTGCTACGGGTACATGTCGTACCAACTTCACTACCAAGTCAACTCCACGCTTAGAGGTATTTCACTCCGTTCCAATCTTCTCTCTACTGGGCCCACAGCTCACCATGGTACAATGAAGTACAGTCAGGTCGCCATATACAACAGAGCCGGCGGCCTTGCACGTTCAGCCGCAGCACAGTCACGTTGACCAGAGCTCCGAGCATGGCTAGCAAGCTTCTGAGAAGTACATGCGCGCGATGAACGCACCACTCCCACACACCAATGCTAACAATACCAGGCCTGCAGCAACGTAGACACTTTAGCACCACCCGCGCAAACCTCACCCACGTCTTCCGCGACGTCCCCTCCCTCCGCACTTACCGGCATGAGCTCCTCCTCTCCCAGCGCACCGTCGGCCTCGTTCCGACCATGGGCGCTTTGCACGACGGCCACCTGTCACTCGTGCGCCAAGCAGCAGCGGAAAACACAGACGTCTTCGTCAGCATCTACGTAAACCCGACACAGTTCGGCGTCAACGAGGACTTAGACAGCTACCCCAAGACGTGGGAGTCGGACATGAAGCTCCTACAAACCCTAGACGAGGAGCTGGCCGCCAAGGGAAAGGGACGGCTGAGTGCCGTCTTCGCGCCCCCGACCAAAGTCATGTATCCGACACTCCCGCCGAGCTCTGACATTCCGGGGCAGGGGAGTTTTGTCATCATCACTCCGCTTGGAAGTTTGCTGGAGGGTGCTTCGCGACCCGTGTTCTTCCGCGGCGTCGCGACCGTCTGTATGAAGTTGTTCAACATCGTGAAACCGGAGCGCGTCTACTTTGGGCAGAAGGACGTACAGCAGACGGTCGTGATCAAGCGAATGGTCAAGGACTTCCACATCGACACCCAGGTGGTGATTGGGGCCACAAAACGCGAGGAGGATGGCCTGGCGATGAGTAGCAGGAACGTATACCTGGGCGCACGCAGGAGGAAAGTGGGCGTGGTATTGAGCCAAGCGCTGATGGCAGCCGAGGAGCAATGGGAAAAGGGGTTGAGGATGAGGAATGATATCCTATGGCCCGCCAACGACGTGGTCATGCACAAGATGATGGAGCAGGACGATTTGCCGCGCGAGATGAGGGCGAGGTTCGAGGTCGACTATATTTCCCTCGCGGACCCGGAAACGCTGGAGGAAGTCCAAGAGGTGGACGAGACCAAAGGCGCCATTCTGAGCGGTGCGATCAAGATGTTCCCGCTTGAGGCGCCGCAGGAGGGCGAGGAGTGTGGGCTTGGTGGTGGGGAGGTGCCGGTGCGGTTAATTGACAATATCATACTCAAACCCATAATCAAGTCATGATGAGGTTTGGTGTACTCTGAGGGAAAGTAGATACCCGGGTCAAAATTGCAGGCGAGAAGATTTATGGGGAGCGGCAGAGTACAGTTGCACCCTCAGAAGACCGGCGTGTCATGGCCGATACACCCGATGGACCATTGAAGATGGGGTGATTGGTGTGTGCTGCGGGCAGCGATCACCGCGATGACACTGGCAAAAGAGAAGGGAGGAAAGAAGAGAGGTCGCATGTATGATCCCCATGGCCAGTGAATGGGAGCGTGATAAAGACTTCAACAATGATCTAGTATACGCCAAAGCGACGGGCGGTTGACATGCTCATCACAGGTTCAGAGATAGCATACACGGTCGCGGCACAGAAGGGCAAGAAGGACAGTGCACGACCTCTTCATGACTTCTCTCTCCCTTGGGACCAACGCATGTCACTGGTACAATTGATGGGCGTTCGCTGGCCGTTCCACCGTGATTCTTGTGAAGTAGATGAGAATCCAGCGCGTGCTTCCCTTGTTCAGTGTCTTGACCGAAGCGCAAGCCGATGCCAATGGAGTGGTAGATGTATACTCCTCTCCAGCTAAACTAGTGATGGTGGTGAGACTCCACAACATGATTGCAAGTTCCTGCCGCAACTAACAATAGTGAGATTCTTCCTATCCTGGTCGAGTTTTGCAGAATAATGCACTAGCCAAAACTGTGTCTTCAGGACGACAGAATCCCGCAAAACATCAAAAGGAAGCTTCATATGGCTATGCCTGGAATCGAACCAGGGTCGGATCGGAAGTTGCTAGTCTGATGACCACAACGATACATGCTACCCCTACACCACATAACCGGGGTTTGATAGTAAATCAGATCAGTGGACTGATCCGATACTCGCTTCAGATAGCAGGTGTTTCATTTTATGAAATAAAAGTATCTTTGAATTTGCATGCTATCATCTCGGACGTGAGCGGGAAATCAATCCGGCAGGCAGTCTTTCCATCGCTCATGTCGCGCAGATTCGTGCCTGTAGGAGTGTGACGAGAGCGGCGCGGCGGGATACGCACGTTTTGTAGGCCCTCCATTGTCCCAAAGGCTCCTCGCATCTGGCTAGTGCTCCTGCAGTTCTATGTGTGCTACCTACTACGAAAGTGCTTGGCGACTGTATCCACCTCCACAGGCCCGTTCGGACAAGGCGTTTGCTTGGTAGCGGTGGGGTAAGCATTCCCGCAACTCCTGATAATGGCCACCCTGTCTTTGTCTTTACTTTTTGGTCGCTTGGGAAGGTTGGGAAAAGCGAAACCCGGGAGGTGTCTGGGTTGATAAGGATACAGACGGTGTTTAATGCAAGGCCTCATGAGTTCCGCCACCCGGTAAAACTAACTTGTTGCTTTGGCAGCTACTATTGCGACTATTGCAGCGCACGGCCTTGCTTTGCGAATCAATCCCCACTCTGTCGGCTCGCTGGATTACAAACCTCGTCCGACATTCCACGAATGTGACGTTCCCTAGTTGATACACGAACCTGCTGCCGTCACTGCCACCATTGCACTGCTTTGCACTGCTTTGCACTGCTTTGCGCTGCTTTGCACCATCATCCGTACACACTGCCTTGACAATCCTCCGCGGAAGACAGCCATGGCGCAGTAATGCCCACGCTAGGTACCCATAGCCGCGCCACGCTACGCTCTCACCCAGCACCTGAGCTGTTCTGGCCCTGAGCCCTGAGTCCTGAGTCCTGCACTTCTCCGCAAACCCAGTTCACGTACAGTATCAGTATCCCTAAACCTCCCCTTCATTGGAGCGGCAACAACAACCTACGTCGATGACACAGGTGCTTCGCACTACTCGCAATCCCACCATGCCCTCCGACAAGCGCACCACCAGCACCTCAATGACCACAAACAGGCAGGTCAGCGGCAGCAGTGGTCAAGTCAGTCAAAAGATCAAGAACTTCTTCAGGATCACTCCCAAAGACTCCTCGATCCCACCAGAGAAGAACAGCTCGGAAAGAAATGACGGCACCTCTACCCCTCGCTCGGACAACAAAGTCTCCAGCCTGCGCAACAGCAGGTTCATACCGCACATCGGACGCAACAGGAGTACAACCGTTGCTAGCGAAGGAAACCCGCTCGACGACAGCATGAGCCCGACCGCGCATGCGAACCCTTACTTCCAACATCAAGGTCCTCCTGCGTTACGGCATCACAACGATAGCAGCGTTCCCAACACCCCTCCGGACACTCCTGGCAAGAAGGCTCAAGCTATCTCAGGCGCAAACGATGCCTCGGTTGCGGCGGGCAAAGAAGAGTTGGCGAGGAAATTGCGAAGGGTCGCCAGTGCACCGAATGCGCAGGGTCTATTCAGCAAGAACGGGTCGAGCGACGGAAGGCCACACACAGCAGAAGCGAACAAGACTGCTCTTGCACCACAACCAACAAACGCCTCCACATCAGCCCTGGCTGTCATCGATACCGCGTCATCAGCAAACAGCAGCGACCCGAATCTCTTACCCGTACCCGGTATTGATGGTATCCCGAGTCCTGGAAAGCTCCGAAATGCAGCAGCCTTTAGGCGGACGTACAGCAGTAACAGCATAAAAGTGCGGAACGTCGAAGTAGGACCGGGCAGCTTTGACAAGATCAAGTTGATTGGCAAGGGAGATGTTGGTAAGGTGTACCTCGTCAGGGAGAAGAAGAGTCAAAGGTTATACGCTATGAAAGGTGAGGAAGAAGCACACATGTGACAAGGAGTGTGGGTTGGACTGACATACGCCAGTCCTGAGCAAGAAAGAGATGATAAAGCGGAACAAAATCAAGCGCGCTTTGGCCGAACAAGAAATCCTGGCGACCAGCAATCACCCGTTCATTGTAACTCTGTACCACTCTTTTCAGTCTGAGGATTACCTCTACTTGTGTATGGAGTACTGCAGCGGTGGAGAGTTCTTCAGAGGTTAGATTGACCCGCACATGTGTGTATCGCTGTGACTGACATACATATCAGCCCTCCAGACGCGACCGAACAAATGCGTGGACGAAGACGCGGCGCGCTTCTACGCAGCCGAAGTCACGGCGGCACTGGAGTATCTTCACCTGATGGGATTCATCTACCGCGACCTGAAACCCGAGAGTATGTGAACCATGGGCGCGCCAAGAACAATCACTAACGTGTCATGCAGACATCCTACTTCACCAATCGGGCCATATAATGCTTTCAGACTTTGACCTGTCCAAGCAGTCCGACCCGGGCGGAAGGCCAACCATGATCATGGGTTCTAACAGAGGCCTCTCTTCGCACACAGCCAACCCCGCTAACCTACCCACCATCGATACCAAGTCATGCATTGCCGACTTCCGCACCAATTCTTTTGTCGGAACGGAGGAGTATATTGCACCGGAAGTCATCAAGGGGTGCGGCCATACGAGTGCTGTCGACTGGTGGACGCTCGGAATCTTGATATATGAGATGCTCTTCGGCACGACGCCGTTCAAGGGCAAGAATCGCAACGCTACCTTTGCAAACATCCTGCGGGACGAAGTCCCCTTCCCGGAAGGTAGCGGGGCGCAGAACGTTAGCAAGTGAGTACCAGTCCCCTCCTCGCCCCCACTTCAACATTGCCTGATAGCTCTTCACAGCCTCTGCAAATCCTTGATACGCAAACTGCTAATCAAGGATGAGCTCCGCCGCCTGGGCTCACGCGCCGGCGCTTCGGACGTAAAGCTCACCCTTTCTTCCGCCCGACCCAATGGGCTCTACTCCGCCACATGAAACCCCCGATCATCCCGAACCAAGGCCGCGGCATCGACACGATCAACTTCCGAAACGTCAAAGAGAGCCACAGCGTGGACCTGGGCAACTCGAGCAACAAGGGCTTCGGCGTCAGCGCCAGCAAGATGAAGGGCGTACCTCTGGACTCCGGGCTGGCCACTCCGGGAGGCGAGATCGCGGATCCGTTCGAGGAGTTCAACAGTGTTACGCTGCATCATGAGGGCGACGATATCGTCGAGGGCGAGGAGTGGAACGGGCGGTAGTACCGGCTTTGTGTTTGCGGCAACGGTATGGACGGGGCGTGCGCGTGCGAGTCCGACGCCCACCGAGCCAGATAGATTCTGCCTCGTCGGCGAACTACGCGGGCGATCATCGCCTTGCGGTGTCCATGGCACAAGGTCGTTGCGCGATGTTATAGATAACGCGGGTGTGGTGGCGGCAGGTCTTTTGTGTTGGAGTTCTGCGGCGTGAAACGGGGTTCTTGATTGCTCTCTGACGACGTTCAAGACAACTGTACATGCATTTCGGGATTGGGGCGGGAAACACAAAATATTGACGACGACTTGAAAGCGTTTGAAGACTGCGCTTGATCAACAAATGGACATGGTCGTTTTACCTTTTTCACTCCCTTTTGACGGTCATGAAGAAGTTTTCTGTGACATCTTCTGAGGGGAAACGCGGGCAGATGTCTTGGTATCCCGTGGTCAATGGACAAGGAGATACAGCTGTCGCAGATCACTTGTCCCCAAGCCGCTTGTAACCCCATAGCGATCATCCCGTTCGTTCATTGTCCGGTGATTTGCTATTAAGCGGAGGAAGGAAGGAAGGCTTGGCACGAGTCTCCGCCCCATCCCCCGCCCCGTGCCAAATCTCCCCGGCTTTACCCTGTCCAACACCACACCCTTGCACACCCTCCCCGTCCTTCGTTGCGACAACAGCCACATACTGCCGATCATGGTCAGGCTAAAACACCGCTACCTCCTCATCAACATCCTATACCCTGGCGAAGCAGACAAATCCGGCATCAGAGCAAAGGACGACGTGCCAGCCGTCGTGCAGTTCCACGCGCCCACCTCGGACGCGCTCACGGCCGGCAAGCTGGCGGGCGCGATCAAGGACGGCGTGAGCGATCTCTTCGGCGACTATGGCGCCGGCATGGTCGCTGGGAGTTTACAAAGTACGGGTTTCCCTTACCTTTCAAAAACAATATATATATATATTGTGGATCGTTTCCGGCTGACGTGCGCGAGAACAGTAAAATACCTCTCTCCAGCGACCAGCACGGCTATCGTCAGGGTTTCGAGAGCGCATTATAGATTGGTATGGGCTGCGTTGACGTACCTGGGCCGGCTCCCGCATCCGGTGAATCGGGAATGCGTGATCCAGGTCGTGAGGGTGTCGGGAACGATAAGGAAGAGTGAAGAGGAGGCGATTCGGAGGGCCAAGGTGGGCATTTTGAAGGCGCAGGGAGCGGGTAGGGGGACGGTGTTGGAGGGGCTGTTGAGGCAGGAGAGTGCTGGACGGGGTGGTGCGAAGGGGATTGTGGATGATGACAATGAGGATGAAGATGATGAGGGTTGAAAGGATGGGATGGAACGAACGACATGACGACGGCAATGGGCGCGATAGGCGGTGAACAGCCGCATGGGGATAGTGGCGGTCGTCAATGACGGCCTATGCTACACGGACCACGACCGCCGGAGAAGGAGCTTCCACAGACGGGACAGAGGGACAAGCTCCGCCGAGTCGCTCCTGGATGCCCGGTCACGAACCCGCGAAAGGAGAACAAATCGCGTGGAAGGAGCTATATCCCACGACACGAGGAACAGCAGCCTCTTTGTGCGCCAAGCTCTCATCACTGCATTGCAAGTATCGGCGACGAACAGCATCACTACATGGCGGAGCATCAGATGGACTCTATTCCCACAAGTGATACGGACAGCTGCTTTGCTGGCGGAAGTCTACCCGCTTCAGCTTGCAGAACCCTACTCGAGTGTGGAAACAACCAAGCTGCTGAAGCCGTTTCAAACCCCTAGCTTCTGCGTCACGTGACTGAAACTCGAGGAGCCTCTCATTGGTTTGAGC